TTTTTTTTTTTTTTTTTTTTTTTTTTTTTTGCCAATAATTGATTTACCTTGTTTAATGTTCTTCTCTAATGAAGCCTTTTTGTTCTGGGATTGGGTCAACCCCACCTCACTTGTGGAGAACTTTTCATTTTAAGTGCTTTTAAATGTGGTTTTTGTCTGGGTTTTAGTAATGAAACCACAGAGAATTCTAGAAGAGCTATTTAATGAAACCTTGTTTCTCCAGTCCTGTTTACCTACTGGGAAGAACAGAGCTCAAGATAACAGTAACATTCTTCCCTGGAGTCCTAGTATGCTTTGCAAGTAACTTCCCTGAGAAACTTAAACTTTTTTATCAGTTTGATACTGACATAGAAATATGGAATTTGTTTTGTGTGATGTTGTTGTTCCTTGTTATCTTTTCATGCCACTAGTCAAACCTGAGCAGCTATATGGTGATTCAAAATACAAAACACAAACAAAACCCACAAAATATAGAAAGGTCAAAAATCAACTGTAAAAAATATTTTGCATTAGTCCTGTATTTCTAATTACAAAACCATATTCCAAGTTGCTTAGAGGGTGGAACTATTAACATTTCTAGTTGTATGGTACTTTGTAACACTTAGTTTTCCTAATCCTTATTTCAGCAATCAGATTTAAACTTCTGAATCCATTCTTTTTTAGGTATACCCGAAATCTTGTGGATCAAGGAAATGGGAAATTTAACCTGATGATTCTGTGTTGGGGTGAAGGACATGGCAGGTAACATAACCATTCCAGATATTTCTGTACAGCATTTGGCCCAGAGGATCAAAAGTACACAGTGCCAGGCTAGCCACCAATTTTGCAAGGACTAACAGGTCACATTTCAAAATTATTAGTTTACATTGTCCACCAATTCCAACAAAAATTTCCATGAGAATTAGCGTAGGGGTTCAGGCATTTACCATGTATATTAAAACTAGTTCCCAAAATGAATAGTAAATCAAAGGAGCTTAGTAGTCACCTTAATTTAACCTCTTCTTCTACAGAGTTAAACTTTTTACGGAATTGTGTTTCAGCCTGACCTTTGTGGTGTTTGAGGTGTGTAAATAATTGTAGGATCAAAGACCAAACCAGATTTGGAGCTAGAAAAACATTTCACAAATTCAGAGGATTTCTTCCTACTTCAAGCTAATTATTTAGCTTTTTTACCTTGAAGGCAACTTAAACTAAAACTGACTCTTTAACAATTGCTTCCTTTAGTTTGTGCATATGCCAGTCTTATTTTTCAACTGAATATTGATTGTCTTTTTAAAAAGATTCTTCTCAGTTTTTGAGAATGATACAGACCAATAAACCCACATCTATTTTTGATGGGAAAAAGACAAATAAATATTTAAGACTTTAGAAAGTTAACTCTATCAAGTATATTTATTTCATTCATTGAATATTATTTGTGAGCAGATTATCAAGGATAGGTCAGACTGGGGACTTAGGAAACAAGTTCTTACGATATATATATAGGTTAATAGAATTCAACATATGAAATAAATCCTAAAAACATACAGGTTCAGTTTTTTTGTTTCTTTTGTTTTGTTTTGTTTCATTTCATTTTGAGACAGGGTCTTGCTCTGTATCCCAGGCTGGCCTTGAACTCACAGCAATCCTCCTGCCTTAGCATCACAAATGCTGGGATTATAGGTGTGCAGCACCCTGCCGAGCCATATATAGGCTAGTTCATATATTTTAATAAGTCCTATGCCATTACTACTTCATATACCTAAATACAGTGGACTTATGACTTATGAACTCAATTCATTCACAAGTGCTGGTTGTAACTCAAGTTGGTTAATTGAAGGCTCAGACTCCTCCTTTACACAGCCTTCAAAGTCTTTCTTAGAGAGACACTAGTCCAGGATTTTTCAATTAACCCCACACAGGAGAAGATGTTGTAATGTGCCTTCCAGAGCTCTTTAAGGGTTAAATCTGTATCTGAGACCATCTGAAAGCACAAGTGGCTGGCATTTTGGGTTGTAATTCAAGACTTTGTTCATAAGTTAAAACTAAAATTCTGGTCTTAACCCAAGTTGTTCGTATGTCAGACTGGTTGTAACTCAGTGTCCACTGTACTATTTATTCTAAGATCGAATACAACTTATTTTCTCCCACCAGTATTGAGAGATAACCACAAACTGGCTACTCTAAACTGTAAAATGCTAACTTTTTATATACTGTACAGTATAATTTTAGGGGGATAAAATGCATACACATTTTCCTTGGTCCCTGAAGGAAAGAGAGAAGAAAAAAAAAGTATGGGAAAATAAACCCACTAAATAATATACTAAGTAATTTTCTCAGTGTGCACGGTTACTACAGATAATTATCTTTATTCTTTAAATTTTTTGAATGTACTTTTGTTTTTATATTTGCTGTTCTTTTATGTGGTACTAGGAATCAAACTGAGGGCCTCAAATACTAGGCAAGCACTCTATCATTTCTAAGGTGTGTTCATAATTGAATTCTAACTCAGCTTAAGCAAGCTACTAGAAGCTAGATTTTGAAGAAGATAAAAAGGTTGCTGGTTTTATTAACAAATTACTATAACAAAAATTTTAAAATTAACTACTCTTACTATGGGCACGCCTCAGAACTGTGCCTCTCTTCAGTATGGTGGCATATGCTTGTCACGTACCTCCTTAGGAAATTAAGGCAGGAAGATAGCAAGTTCAAGTCCAGCCTAGGCAACTTAATGAGATCTTTTCTCAAAATAAAAGGGGCTGGGAATGTAGATCAGCAGCAGAACACTTGTCTAGCAAGCATAAAGTCCTGAATCTAATCCACCGTGCAACAGAAAGTGAGAGAGAGAGAGAGAGAGAGAGAGAGAGAGAGAGAGAGAGAGAAAAGAAACATATCTCTCATATCCCTTGATACTAATGACTTGTTATTTTATTACTTTGCCTTGAACAATGTTGAATTATAAATTGAGGACATTTTAAAAGTCCACCTAAAATGGATTTTGGCCCAGAAGATGTCCTTCTGACAGTGCATAGATATTAGCTCATAGTAGAATGGACAATAGACCAACTACTGAGTTCTGTTGTCATTTTATGTATTAATAGCAGTATTCATGATCACACGGATTCCCACTGCTTTCTGAAAATGCTGCAAGGAAATCTAAAGGAAACATTATTTGCCTGGCCTGATAAAAAATCCAATGAGATGACCAAGAAGTCTGAAAGAACCTTGAGAGAAAACCAGTGTGCCTACATCAATGGTAACATACTGTCCTTTCTCTAAAGAAGTGTGGGGAAAACTGAATTCTTATCTGAAATAGTTATTCCTTACACATGTGTAGTTGAACCCATAATGGAGTCATGATTTAAAATACTTGAGAAGTGACCTAAACACAGTGGGTTTCATTTTTCAAGGCTTTGAATCTTGGTTGGTGTAATTTATTTAAAACATATGTAAACAGGAGAGTGTCCATTGAAAAGTCATTTACCTGCCAAAATTTAGAACAGTTAGACTAGAATATGAATTTGTACTTAGTAGAGCCAACAAAAGAAATCAAATTGGAAATAGTAGTCTTTGTGTTAGAAAATGTACAGAAATGTTCTGGAAGTGATTAAGAACACTAGAAAGTCCCTGTTTTTCTAAAATGCATACAGCATAACTAAATGACTTTCCTCATGGGCGATTTTACAAAGTATGATACTGGGCAGTGATTTACAGATATCTAAATAAGAATTCATTCTTTCTCCTAAATGTGGTATGAAAAAACTAAATGCTTCTCAGGAGAGGCAGTGCTTTAGGTTTTATATTCCTAAAAGGAATACTAGCTCTCTCAAAAACTCAATAAAATTTGAGATAAATAATATATAGGAAAGTTAAATACCTTGTCTGCAGTCACTCAGCTTTTGAGTAGCAGCCAGGATTTGAACTCAAGTAACTTGGTTTCAAAGCACGTGTTCTTAATCAAGAGGCAACCTCATTATATAAAATAAAGTATTGCAGATGTTTTTCTGGTAGTGCCAGTTCTTCATACATCTTAAAAGTCTGGTGTTAGTCTGGACACTTGGCCTAAATTTGTCACCTCATTAAGTTAGGAATGAAGTCACTTGCAAAAATCAGACTCTGTGGAAAGCTTTTTTTTCCTCCCTATTCACATAAAACAAGGCCTAGTTTTTTATGTAGTAGAGAACTCAATTCATTTTTAAAATATTTGACAAATAGTTGCCATATATAAGGTATACCAGACTTATAAGAACAAGTTTCTTGCCTGTACCATACACAATCGAGACAAAGCTTTTCGAAATAGCAATTTTCAGTTGGAGTCGGTCTGAGATTGGACACTGAGAAATACATAAGCTTTTTAAATTTTTTTATTGGTATATTTTAGGTATACAGTAAAGTTACATTCATCACTGGGATCTTGTATCTTTACGTGATGTATCTTGGTTCTTATTTTTTTCCCATTCCTCAGCCCTCCCTTCATCCTCTCCACCCTTCCCTATTTATAAAGACTTTGTTTCCCCCCTTTTTTTGCTTTTCTCATATTTTTTCTTCTCCCTTCTTACCTTTCCCCTACTCCTCCCATTTTCCCTCCCCCTTTAGACCTTTTCTTCCTCTTACACAATATCAGTTATACATACATAAGCTTTTTACAAAAGTCTGTAAGCCACTCCTGCATGGTCAGGAGTAACACAGACTGGGACATGGCTGTGGTGAGATGAGTGAACTGGAGTGTGCAGGAAACCTAAGGGGACAAAGGTGTCACCCACCAATGAGATCATAAGCATTTGATTTTCCATAGAAGCTGGAAATGTTAGTTTTTATTTATGTGATTTTTTTTTTCCGTATTGGGGATTGAACTCAGGTCCTTGTGTTGCGAGGCAGGTGGTGTCCCACTGCATTAAATCCCTGGCCATATTGATATGAATTTTTGCTAATCTAAAGATATTGAGACGTACTAAATAATTTTGTAGACTAATAATCCAAATAACTGAAAAAAAAACAATTTTTTAATCTCTGATTTGTACAGATCCCAGATTAAGGATGTAGATGGATAGTGATCAGAAGAAAGATGTGTCAAGTGTAGAGAAAAGCATGAGTGAAGGCACAGTGCTTGCAGAGTAGAAACTTCAGGAATGCCATTAAAGGGGACGGAAAAGGGAAGAATGGGCTTGAGTGGGGTTGGTAGGAGAGGAAGGGAAGATAATCATCTGGGCTGCCAGAACCAGCAGCATGGGGTAGAGGAGAGGTGAGAAATAAAGTAAGGAGATCAAGTTTGGACAAAAAGTCCATGAGTGTGGATATAAATGTCCTTCTTAAATATCACCAAGAAAGACCCCAGTATTACTGTGAGGAGGGTGTACTATGAACATAAAAGAAAAGGAGGCAAGGATCAAAATAATAATGATGCTGGGAATAACAGAAAGGCTCGTATGTAACTTGAGGGCTCAGCTAAAGAATGGGCATTTTGTTTTTGTAGTCCCTGCTCACAAGATCATCCAACAGAAATTGGATGGTACATATAACTACTGGTGAAGAGACAAAATATTGTTTGTATAAAGGGCAGTCAGTTCTTAGAGATATTGATTGTCCTTAAGCCAATATATTTTGAAAGCAGCAAGCTATAGAATCAGAGCATTTGCTGGTCTGAAAATTGGGTTCCACTTTTAGAAACAAGGACTACTGCAAATCCTTGAAGTTGTCACTTGTTCAAATGTAACCTAGCAAGTCACTTTTAGAACCTAAGTCTTCTGCTTCTAGACTTTCTTCTTCCAAAAATCTGAGTTCAGCTCCTGCCCCTCGATTGGTAACTCAGCTGAACATGGATTGTGATTTGGCAGATGTCATCCCTTAGAACTATAGTCTTATTTTCATTTTCCAGTGTTCATGTCTAAAGTCTAGTGCCATTCTGATTCTTACCTCTTTCTGTGAAACCTGTTTGTCTTTATAAGAATTTTTGGAATATTTTTTGGTTCTTTTGTTTTGTCCCTAATGCTGTAAAATTTCACAGTGATGCATTTTGCTTGGTGACTCCTTCACTGGGCTGGGCACTCAGTAGGTACTTTATTTATTTTCTGGACATTTGTGTTCCTCAAAAAAATATTCTTGGGTTATTTCTCATTGTAGTGGTGTTTCTGAAATAAAGATTTTAAGCATTCTAAATTATTCCTCTGATTTTTCCCCCCGTCTTATTTTCTACATCTATCTTTATTTTTTCTTTGAGTCCCCTTCAGCTTTTTCTGCCAACTCTTCTATTCAGGTATTTATTTGTAAAATTTCTTTTATTTTCCGGTTCTTTGTTCAGCACCTTATCTCTCATGAGACATTCATGATAGGCTTTTTTAAAGTCTTTCTAAATAGCCTCCATTTCAAGTTGCCTTTTTCAGGTTGCTCTGGTCTATTTTCCCTACTAAAAGCTAGCTCCAATATCTGATAACCTTGGCCATATGGTAGTGTGTAAAAACCAGGGAGAAAAATGTTAACTGGTAGCTCTGAACACAGTAATGGGACTTGTCAGTAGATTTTACTTTGATTATCTGGTGGAGACCTGTCCTTGAGGAATTCCCAATAACAGTATCTTTAGAGATTTTTGCTTGAACAATACACTGCCTTGAAAAGCTGTTTCCCATCTCCTGCCTAGAGGAAAAAATTCTGTCTGGTACCTAGATGGTGAGAAAAACAGGAATCTTATCATCCACTATGTAATACGTTTTACTTAATGCACCTGTTTTTTCTTGGTGTCCACCGTCTCCAGTTCATCAACTGATTATACTCTATGCAGAGAATAGATCTCAGTTTTCTGTGGGAAAGGGAAGGAAAATTGGTGACAGAGATTTGAGGTTCTTCTTAAATGGGCTTCCAATCAGTTAGTGTATTCTAGCGCTCTCTTCACTCTCTTCTGGTACTGCCAATTCCTGAGCTAATTGACAGTTACAGGATACAAATCAGGTTACTTCCTGTCTTTCTCCACAAATGGCGTAAGATCTCCCATCTCTCTTTGCATCCATCCGTCAAGCTTTCACAATTTTATTAATGTTTTCTATTTTCCTTGTCTCTGTATGTCAGTGTCTTTTTAAAAATTCTTTTATTGCAGTGGGAAAGGGTTTTCAGGAAGGAACAAATGTGAATGTACGCACATCACTTACTATCTTAGCCAGAAATTCTACCTAGATTCTGTTAGTTCCATATGTCTCAACATTTATTCAAGATCATAGATGACTGACAAATTTTTACCCTCAGCTATCATCTAACTCCTGCATGTTTTCTTCCCTTTTTGATATTTTTCAGATTCTATTGGCTTACACCGAGTAGAGAATATCAGCCATACAGAACCTGCTGTGAGCCTTCACCTTTACAGTCCACCTTTTGATACATGCCATGCTTTTGATCAAAGAACAGGGCATAAAAACCAAGTCACCATGACATTCCACAGCAAATTTGGAATCAGGACTCCATTTGTAAGTATTATTTCTGTCTTCTGGGTTTAAATGTCTTTTGGCAATATTCTGTTGTATGTACTTCTGCTATTTTAAGTATTTGAATTCCTCAAATTAAGCATTCTTGAAGAATGAGATAAACTTTAACTCCAGGGAAAGACCCAATATATTTTAATTATTTCTTAAATTTTGGAGACTATATTTAAATTAGTTTTTTAAAAAAGCATTGAATTATGCAAAGAATTATTCATTGAGAAACTTCAAAGTGTATGTTCATTCTTAAAGAAAATGTTTTCTCTGTTTGAGAAATAAGAGTAAAATTTTATTTGATAGAAATGTTACCACTGTGACTTACCAAAATCTTATTTGGTAGAAATGTTACTGCTATGACTTACTATTCCTAGGTCTAATTTGCTAGGGCAACACAATAAGTTTCATAGTTACCCTTTGTAAAGTTAAGGCTCTTCTGATATAACTTGTCTATTTTGATTGCTTTTTCTCTGAGATATGTTATATAGACCACCGTTAAGTGAGAATGGACTAAACTAGTAGTAGTAGTAGTAGTAGTAGTAGTAGTAGTAGTAGTAGTATGTGTGTGTGTGTGTGTGTGTGTGTGTGAGCCTTGTGCATGATAGGCAATTTCTCTAGTAATGAGCCATACCACAGTCAGCCCCTGTTTCTTCTTGAAGAACAAGCATTTGCACTTAAATATAATCAGGCAACCAACTACCACTAAGGTGATATGGCTGTCTTCTATATCTGGTGAAATAAATTGGCTCTTGGAAATGGGCTTTATTTAGTCATTGGAATGTCCAGAAATAGACAGTATATGAAAAAAGAGACTGAAAATAATCCCTTTGATTCTTTCTTTTTGTACCAGGGATTGAACTCGGGTCCTTGTGCTTGTGAAGCAGGCACTGGAACCACTGAACTAAATCCCCAGCCCAATCCCTTTGATTCTTAATAAAAGCACAGTCTTGGAGAGAAGCAAGGGTAGAATGTTATCATGTTATTTCCTTATTATGTCTTTACCTTGCACATTCTGAAATCTAAGACATATCCTTATCACTGGAACAAAGCAAAAAGGCTTCATTGCCATGGCCAAATTATCATATAGTGCCAGAAAAGTAAGACCACTTTGACCAAACAATAATGCCTTGTATAATGATTCATTCACAGAAAAAAAAAAAAAGATTCTTTCACAGCTTTCTCTTATCTTGTCTTACAGCCAACTTCAGGTTCACTGGAGAACAATTAAGAAGCGCCAGCTCTGCAGAGTTTTGCTTTAAGGTGTGCTGAATGTTTGGCTTGGACCAGAAGGCCTTCCACTGTTTGATGTACAGTAATACATATAAATAAGCCAATACTTAGATCTACTGTAAGGCAGATACTAATGATAAGGCGTTAATAAGCAGGTAACGCCCTGAGCAGTATACTGCAGAAGAAAAAAATCCCATTAAAAAGTCTTGAAATTTAGCCAGGCATGGTGGCACATGCCTGTAATCCCAGTACTCGGGAGGCTGAGGCAGGAGGATTGCTGTGAGTTCAAGACCAGCCTGGGCTACATAGTAAGTTCCATCCCCTGTCAAAAAAAAAAAAAAAAAAAAAAAAAATATCTTGAAATTTTAAAGGCCAAATCAAGTGCCCTCCTGGTTCTGTCCTTTAATTCCACTTCAGCCATACTGGGAACTTCAAGGAGGTTTTGTTTTGTTTTTTACCTTTTGGAAATACTTTAATCTCTAAACTGTAATTAGCAATAATATAAACAAGAATCCAGATATCAACGGTCTGCTCTGTTATATGGAGGACTAAGTGTAGATGTTTTTAATATACTTTGTATGCTCTTAATATTTGAAGAGAATTTTTGGATTTTGGATTTTTTTCAATATTCTGCGAATTCCTTTTCTAGGGTAATAGAAAAACTTAAGGCAATTTTTCTCTTGGTAATGAGCTTAAAGGCAGGGAACTTATTTTAAAATATGATGTACCCAAACCTACAACAAACCAAAACAAACTCATGTCTGATGCATCCCATGGTTGTAGGCCTTTGTACTGCTGCTAGAATTGCCAAATAATTTCAATAAAACTTGATTTGAACTCAACTTGAAGCTGTCTTTTTTAGAAACTTTACATAAGTCATTGTTTCTTAGATTTACTGTACCAAAGGCAGTGTAAAAGATGCTTTTATGATATAAGACTGCGAGAACCCAAAAACTACATTCAAAAGCAGTTTGTTAGATTGTGTGTGTAGCTTAAGTGTAGAGTGTTGTATAACACACACACAGACACACACTGCCCTGAATTTGATATTCAAAATCAGAAAAAAGAAACAACTTACTCTTTTGGGCTTCATTAATTGGCCAGAGATACCAACCCAAGGACCTCTGGCCCTAGCATGGCTCATAAACATGATCTGTTTAGCATGAAAGTTCCCTCTGTGTGTTTGTGTGTGTGTTTAAATATGACTTGGTTTCCAGCATTTAAAAATTGGAGATTTGGCCTGGGGATGTGGTTCAATGAAGAACACTTACCCAGCATGCGCAAGGCCCTGAGTTTGATCCCTACCAAAAAAAGAAAAGAAAAAGAAAAAGGGAATTTTATAGAATAAGGTAAATATTTCAAGCTTCTTGAAAATTTGAAGTATCTGGAAATAGCTGGCCTGTACTACATATTCATTGTCACCAGTGAGACCAGGGTCTGCCCCTCAGAGGGGCCACCTCTCCAGTCTGGAACAGCCAGCTCTTGCTCATCTCCTTCTCTGTTATCTGCAGAGCCACATATGCATTTTAGTTTGCTGCCTGAGTTGTAGGCACTTTCCTTAGAAATATCTGTTATGGGGCCAGGGATTTAACTCAGTGGGTTCCACCGCCTGCCCTGTAAGTGCAAGGTTCCAAGTTCGATCCCTGATTAAAAAAGAAAAAAAGAAAAGAGAGAAAGAAAAGAAAAGAAATATCTGTTATAATCTCAGTGTATTCTCACAGGAAACAATTATAGTCTTTCAAAAATAGTTCCTAGTTGTGCTCTTTATATGATCTCAGAATTATTCATATATTAGCTTCTTCACATCTTTGAAAAATACATTTATTTAATGCATACTACATAGTAGGCAATTGTTATAATTGTTCAGATCTACTGACAAATTTAGTGCCAAAAAGCGATTCTCATGAATCAGAGACTGTTGGTTTTCTGCTGCTACTATGTTACGACATATCTAGTGGCTTAAATCAGCACAGATTTATTACCCTACAGCTCTGAGGTCAGAAGTTGGCAGTTTCACAGTGCTAAAACCAGGGTGTTATGAGGGCTACATTCCTTTACTAGGTTCTGGGTAGTTCTTGTGCTTTGGTTTCCCAGTCTCCTGTTTCCACCCTTCCTCTAACTAAAGACAGCAGTGGCAGGGTGAATCCTTCAACATCTCCTCACTCTGATATAGTCTTCCACCTCCTTTTCTACTTTGAGGACTCATGATTCGATGATATCTCCATCTTGACGTCCCTCTAATCACACCTGTAGAGTCTCTTTTGCTACAGAAGTTGATATTCATAGTGCATGGGAATGGAATAGGTCTTGAGGAAAGGAGGGACTCCCACCTGTTTCATTCTACCTTTTGGCCCCCAATAAGCCATGTCTATCCTGCAAATTCACCATCCCTAGCTCTCCAAAATCTCCTCCCATTGTAGTATCAACTCAAAGTCCAAAAATCATAATCTCACCTAAATTAGGTACAGGAAAGGCTCTTGTTATAATCCACCCTGAGATACAACTCCTCTATATGTGGATATATTGGTCATGGTTAAGAATCAATTATATACAATCAAGTTATTAGAGGACCAAGATATAGATCAAGGATTTGATTTCAAGCAATCTTCCTCTAAAATGTTGTCTTTATATTTGGATCTTTTGAGGTATTATAGTTGGAATCCAAAATGTCCCCAAAAGGCTTATTGTGCTGAAGACCTGGGTGCCAAGTTGATGGGCTTTGGGGAAGTAATTGGGTCATTAGAGCTACTTCAAGTGAATTAATCTATTGATGAGTTCATTAGCTAAATGAAATTATTAGAAGATGGGACCTAAATGTATGAAGCAAGCTCCTGGGTGCCTGGCTGTGAATTGTGTATTTGGTCCCTGGCTCCTTCTTCTCTAGGTTTTTTTTCCCTCTTTCTCTGCTTCCCAGCCATTATGAGGTGAGTAGCTTTGCTCCACCCTACCATTCTTCAAGGGAACCAGTTTACCATGGACTGAAACCTCTTAAACCATGAGGCAAATATTTCCTCTTCTAGGTTGACTTTCTCAGATGTATTGTCACAACAATGGGACAATGACACAAGGTAAAAGAAACCTGGGCCATTTTTGTGTACCTTACTATGTTAAAAAATTATGGTATAGCTATACATTTTATATATAATATATTTAAATATTTAATAAAAAGCTGCTTTAACACACAAATGAGGAGTAAATACCCAATGAGTGACAAGGATGGCAAAACATAAACTTGAAGATCCTGCTCCAGACAAACAGCCGCGCTGGCAGTGCTGCCTGCTCTTTCCTCTGCTCCTTCCTCTGCTCCTGTGACTGGCCCTGTTTGCTCCCACCCATGACCATAATCCTGAAGGAGCAGATGTGCTGATGCCCCTCCCAGCATTCAGGGCTTTCTTGGGTCACCCAGGTCTTTGCACATACAGCAAGGCAGTGACAGCAACAAGGGCTTAAATAAGAGGCAAACCCGTGCTAGAGCCTGTTTCATTTGCTGCTGTATTCTGAGTGCTTACACTACTCTTACCACACAGTAGGTGCACAATATTTGTAAAATAAGTGGGGAAAAAAAGCCTCAGCCTCTTACACAATAATTTCATATTAAGGTACCCTGAGCCACCAAATGAAAGGTATCCTATGAGCCACCAAATGAAATGTTATTTTCATTAATATGGCAACTCTAAAATCACTTTTTGTTTTTGGTAGCAGGAATCGAACTTGGGTCCTTGTGCTTGGTGAGGCAGGTCGTGGAACCACTGAGCTAAATCCCCAGCCCTCAGATCACTTTTTAAGCCAAACTTTGTAAGTAAAGCCTATGTCAGAAACTTAACTTTTGTTGTGCATTCATTAATCATAGACTTAGACAAACTAGTTGATGAACAGAGGTCTTTTATGTATGTTTCATGGGAGAAAACAGCATCAATTATACAATTTAGCAATGGTGCTTATCCTTCTTTTGGATCATGCACCACTTTGAAAGTCTTTGCATGTTAAATAATGTTGCTGCAGAAAGATGACACAGAGAGATCTGCACATGATCTTAGAAAGTAGTCATGGACCCTCTGCCGGCCATTAAGAGCTCTGGTGAAACAGCCATATATTAGTCAAAGCTGATGGGGAATGCTGGCTACTTAACTTTAAATGAGGTTAAATGAGCATTAGCACACAGGGCCACTAGCTAGCCTTTTAAAGGTAACAGTGCAGTTTCCAGGAAAAAATGGGGGTATGAGCTACCTTGTTCACGGCACATTCACACATTTCACAAGATCTGTTTTCTCTGTTTCTAAAGTAATTTCACACTTTCACAACTATCAAATTTGGAGATGTTTTTAGAAAAAAAATTTACATAAGAGAGTGACATAAGACCCAGACAGATATCATATGACTCCACTGATTTTAGGCACCTAGAACTGGCAGATTCATGGAGACAGAGAATAGAATAGAGATTACTGGGGGTTGATGGGTGGAGAAGACGAGTATTGTTTAGGCTATAGTTTTTTGTGGGAATGATGAAATGTCTTGGGTATAGATAGTGAAGGTATTAATGACACATAATTGTACATTTACAAATAGTTAAAATAAATATATATCTTTTCCCACCACAATGTTTTTTCCTAAAAAATAATGCATGTGGAAAAAAGTGTGTGCATGTGTACAGCTGTAATCAAAATAAATGACGAGTGTTTACATTCTTAAGCATTTATTATACTAATAGACATAGTGTGATTAATCCCCTCAAAATATTCCCACCTCACTTTTAACCCAATTATTCCATCATTCTTGCCACTTTCTGAAGCAGTTCTAAAAGCCCTCTTTCCTGAGTGTCTTTACAAAGTGTGATCAATATATGGTAAAGGTACAAGATCCCAGTAATGAATGTAACTGTACTGTATACCTAAAATGTACCAATAAACTCAATAAAAAGAAAAAAAATTGTGAAAATAATATATGGTGAGTGCTGCTGTTGAGTGCCATCTAAAGTAGTGGCAGACTCATAGATCACTGTGGTGTGTTCTCATCCATGTTGTTCACTGGAGCTGGCACTTCTGGCTCTTCCTCAAATTCAAAATGACTACAGAAGATTAACATTTTGAAATGATTCAGTACATCAGGACAGCCAGGAGAGCACAACTAAAGAATTCACAAAAGTGAATTGCAACCACTGTGGAAATCAATATGGAGATACCTCAAACAACTAGGATTAGAAATCCCATTTGACCCATCTATTTTTCTGCTGGATATCTTCCCA